ACGGTCGAGATCCCCACCCCTAAACCATATATATTCTTGTATGGGACAATAACACAAATCAAATGAAATATAGGGGAAGTCCATAGGGGTCACCCCCACCCCGCTTTCTTTTTGAAAACTTGTAAACAGTCAAGATCAACACCCTGAAACTATATATATTCTTGTATGGGACAATAAAATAAATCAAATAAAAAATAAAAGGCGAGTCCCCTGGGGTCACCCCCACCCCCTCCTGTTTGAGAACTTGTAAACGGTCGAGATCCCCACCCCTGAAACCATATATATTCTTGTATGCAATAAAACAAATCAAATGAAATAAAGTGGAAGTCCATGGGGGTCACCCCACCCCCTTCTTTTTGATAACTTGTAAACGGTCGAGATCCCCACCCCGAAACCATATATATTCTTGTATGCAATAAAACAAATCAAATGAAATAAAGTGGAAGTCCATGGGGGTCACCCCACCCCCTTCTTTTTGATAACTTGTAAACGTTCTAGATCCCCAACCCTAAACCATATATTTTCTTGAATGGGACAATAAAACAAATCAATTGAAATTAAGAGGAACACCCCTGGGGTAACCCCCACCCACTTCTTTTTGAAAACTTGTAAACGGTCAAGATCCCCACCCCGAAACCATATATATTGTTGTATGGTAACAATAAAACAAATCTAATGAAATAAAAGGCGAGTCCCCTGGAGTCACCCCACCCCATCCTGTTTAAGAACTTGTAAACCATCGAGATCCCCATCCCTAACCAAATATATATTCTTGAATGGGACAATAAAACAAATCAAATGATATATAGGGGAAGTCCATGGGGATCACCCCATCCCCTTTCTTTTTGTATCCTTGTAAACAGTCGAGATCCCCACCCCTAAACCATATTTATCCTTGAATGGGACAATAAAACAAATCAAATGAAATTGAGGGGGAGTCCCTAGGGGTCACCCCAACCCCCTTTTTTTAAAAACTTGTAAACAGTCAAAATCTTAACCCAGAAACCATATATATTCTTGTATGGGACAATAAAACAAATCAAATGAAATACAAGGCGAGTCCACTGGGGTCAACCCACCCCCTCCTGTTTAAGAACTTGTAAACGGTCGAGATCCCCACCCCTAAACCATATATATTCTTGTATGGGACAATAACACAAATCAAGTGAAATATAGGGGAAGTCCATGGGGGTCACGCCCATCCCCTTTCTTTTTGAAAACTTGTAAACGGTCAAGATCAACACCCTGAAACTATATATATTCTTGTAAGGGACAATGAAATAAATCAAATAAAAAATAAAAGGCGAGTCCCCTGGGGTCACCCCCACCCCCTCCTGTTTGAGAACTTGTAAACGGTCGAGATCCCCACCCCCAAACCATATATATTCTTGTATGCAATAAAACAAATCAAATGAAATATAGTGGAAGTCCATGGGGGTCACCCCCACCCCCTTCTTTTTGATAATTTGTAAATGGTCTAGATCCCCACCCCTAAACCATATATATTCTTGAATGGGACAAAAAAACAAATCAAATGAAATTAAGGAGAAATCCCCTGGGGTAACCCCCACCCCCCTTCTTTTTGAAAACTTGTAAACAGTCAAGATCCCCATGCGGAAACCATATATATTCTTGTATGGGACCATAAAACAAATCAAATGAAATATAAGGCGAGTCCCATGGGGTCACCCCCACCCCCGCCTGTTTAAGAACTTGTAAACGGTCAAGATCCCAACCCCTAAACCATATATATTCTTGTACAGGACAAAAAAAAAAAATCATACGAAGTAAAGGGAGAGTCCCCTGGGGATCATCCACCCCCTCCCCCCCTTTTGAGAACTTGTAAACGGTCTCCACCCCTAAACCATATAAATTCCTGTTCGTTATTTCAAGAAGATTTGAATGACATACAGGGTCAATCCATAGGTGTCACTAATGCATATCATAAACCAATTTGTACTGGACATTGCCCAATGTCAAGCGACAATGGGAATGACGAATTATTTGAGCTTTGTTTGGGAGACTTTTTAACAGCATTCTCTTACAATTATTTCTTGTTACTGATAAGTTTTATAGATTTTGAAATGACATTGTTTTAGTGATAAATAAAATTTAGGATTTTTTTCTTCTTTTCTTTAGTAAATTGTTTGTAGAATTTTGTGGCAAGTGTGTTTGTTATTCTGTAAAAACTAGTTTTCTGAATGCTATATATAATTTTTTTTTGATAAAGTAAACTCCTTTAAAAACTAAGCTTATATTGTCTATTAATAAACATATATTTAGATTTCTGATTTTGGACCCAGTTTTCATGTTGGTCCAAATTGGGGTCCAAAATTAAACTGTGTTTGATTTCAACATAAATTGAATATATATAGGGTTCTTTGAAATGCTTAATCTAAACTTGTATTTCTTTTCATTATTAATAAGATAATACCACATTGAGGTCCAAAGGGTCTAAATTACACTTTTGATTAATTTCATCAAAAATTGAATTCTTTGGTTCTTTGATATGCTGATTCTAGCAATGTTTGAGTGTGAAATCATATCTAATTTTAGAGAACTTAGTCATCACTGGTTGTTGTTATTATATTATTGATTATAATTTGAAAAAATGCATCATATCTTATTTTAGAGAACTATTTATACAGTTTGAGTTTTTTCCCTTTGCACAGGAAATATTATGGATAAAATTAACCTGTGTTTCATTTCAATATAAATTAAATATATATATAAAGGGTTCTTTCAAATGCTGAATGTAAACCTGTATTTAAATATTAGATTTTTGGCCCAGTTTTCAAGTTGGTCCAAATCAGGGTCCAAAATTAAACTTTGTTTGATTCAACAAAAAAATTATTTATGGGGTTCTTTGAAATGCTGCAACTAACCATGTATTGAGAGATTTTGGATTGTGGGCTCCTTTATCAAATTGGTCCACATTGAGGTCCAAAGGGTCTTAAATCAAACTTTTGTCTGATTTCATCAAAAATTGAATACTTGGTGTTCTTTGATATGCTGATTCTAATATGTACTTAGATTTTTTATATTGAAAAATAATAGGTATTTAAATGTCCAATTTCAAGTATTTCAGTTCTTAAACCACATTCATTTTGTGTCACAAACCTATGCTGTGTCAAATATTCAATCACAATCCAAATTCAGAGCTGTTTTAAGCTTAAATGTATTGTAAATACTTGCTCAACTGTTCTGGGTTCGACCTCTGCAGGAAAGTCCGGTTTGCTGTTACTCTGGCAGCCTCTAGTGTCTGTTGATTTCTATGTTTTTGACTAACGTGAAGCATTAAGCGATTCAGGCTCGTAGTAACTCCTTGTTACCATATGGTTAATTCATAGTTTTCCTTTAGCATGTACTGACTGCGATTTGTTTAAGATATATCATGTATATTGGATTCTGAAAAAACATAAAATGATTTTGTTAATTCCTACCTTCCCCTACCATCTATATAGATGTTTACATAGAATGTCTAGATAAACTGAAATGATCGTTCTAACAAAGACATTTGATTGTTAATAAAATATAAATACTCTGCAAAATAAATAAATATAAAATACATCTTAAAAAATGAAAACAACACGATATAACTTTCATGGGTCCGAAGAGCTTTTCTGGATCTACCTCCATCAGGAACGCTCAAAGCCAAATATTTGAAAGCCAAGAATGTAAAAGGACTGAAAACGTTGAAGAGCTATACACCAAAAAAGGACCTAAAAATAGCCAAATCCATCTAAGGCCAACTTTGTCTGAGGCAGTTGAAACCATAGTTTCTGTATAATTTCAAAATTTATAAATGTGCAATTTTAGATAATTTGTTATAAATCATGTCAGTACCGAAGTACTGACTACTGAGCTGATGATACCCTGGGGACTGATAGTCCACCAGCAGAGGTGTCGACTCAGTGCTGTAAAAAATGAAAACAACACGATATAAATTTCATGCGTCCGAAGCGCTTTTCTGATCTAACTTAAAGTGTACAAGACCAACATGAAAAAAAAAACCAAACATGATACATAATAAACGCAAAATCAATAGATCTCTAGAGTAAATATGCTCGTATCCTTGTAGTCAAACCTACATGGGGATCTTTCCATGTCTTGATTTTGACAACGTTGTTATATTTCGTTGGACACAAAAATTCACCTTTATTTGCATGAACAGCCTGATGTAAATTGGGCATCTTATTCCATTCTGGCTTTCCGTAACATTGAAAGTTATACACAGTACAAATCCTACATTGCATAGAAATGTAGGAAATTCTTTAGAATTCTACAGTACATTTCCTCAGTGTGTGTGTTATCGTCATTTCCAAAGATCACATAATGGTAAAATATATGTGAATATACAGGTAGAAAGAACTAGAAATGTCCCCATCAACGTATTTTTACTCCTGTCTTTGGACTAATTAAACAATAGGAGAAATAAAAACAAATATAGAAAAACATACTTTAAGAAATGATGCATTTTCTCCTTAATGACTATATGGCTGATAACCACAACTGTTTTCAAACTGGGCAATAACTGCTTCTGATAGAAATACAAAAAGAAATAAAAATATAAATAATCTGAAATAAGGACAGAGCATTAAAAAACATTAGTAAATTATTATTTGTCGTCCCTTATTCAGGTATTAGGATTTATGACCCCAGTCGCTGGCACACAATCATGACTGTGGTCTTTTGTAGGGTGCCTGTCTCGAGAGCTAGATAGTATGGGTTGTATCACCAGCCTGTTCGAACTGACAACTTAAAAATGTGTATGCCCTGCTTCTCCATAAGAACTGGTTGTCATAATAATGTGTCTGACGTGTGTATTTCTTGATCTTATGCATTTCCAAACATTGTGTGCACTTTATGGGCAAATTTTAAATTGTTCTTAGAATCTAAATTTACAATGGCAAAAAATGGGCGTTTAAGATAGATGTTTTAAATATTTGACAAGTTTTCACATGGGGAATGACAGTTTATTACATTTTTTTCTTTTGTAGGATGCCATGTCAAAGACATCCCCAGAAGTAACTACTGACACCCATTTACAGGAACCTGCAGCACCTGTAGTTGAAGGTAATCATCTAATGTTAATTATTCAGATACTGACTGAAATGATTTATAATAACTTGTTTCTAATATTTGGAAACCTTGATATCTGCTTATATTCACCTTATAATATTATAATGAAAAATAATGAAAAAAAAACCCAACAAATTGATCGGAAAAGTCATATTAAGTTGTCTAATATAATCAACACCACAACTGAACAACATTTTCCTAACTATATTTGACATGAAAATATTTTGCCACTATTACTATTTCTCTTCAAAATCCTAATTTATGTTGATTTATATGCTGTAAAAGACATATTCAAATTAAGCATTTTTAAACCTCCTTAGGATATCCTTCTTAACTCTATGTATAGGTGAGTTCCATATGTATTTATAAATAAGTTCTCTTAACAATATCATCTGAGGGGTTTGGCAGAGAGATAATGAGATGGTTTACAATAGACAAGACTAGAGTTTTAATCACAGTTATTCTTCCTATTACAGTTAAATTCCTATTAGACCATTGTTTTAAAGTATTTTAATGTGTACACTTCTTACAGAATAATTTATATTAGCAATTTTTTCAAGATCTACATAAAAAATTATACCTAGCAATGTATAAGTAGTTTCACCCCAAGACAGATTTCTGTCAGGACATAATGTATCTGTACTATATATTTTGCTCTGTGAGTCTCAAACCAAATAACTTGTGTTTTTGTGAAGTTAATATTCAGTCCAGATATTTTTACAAACCAGTCTAATTCTAATAGTGATTCCTGCAGGGATGTTTCACTCCCATCCAAAATCAAAGAAGTGTCGTCAGCAAATTGTGACAATTTATGTTCAACCCATTTGACCTTGATACCACTAATGTCACTATTTCCCCTTATTTTCAGCGCATAAAATGCAAAGGTAGGGAGACAGCTTATCTCCTTGTCTACAACCTCTTCCAATCCTAAAAAAATTTGAAAGATTTCCCCCCTGGATGACAGCAGAGTTGATATAATTGTAAAAAAAACTTTGACCCAATTAATGATAGATTCACCAAAATTCAAAAAATTCAAAACATTCATAAAAAAATCCCATGATATGGAGCAAAAGCTTTTCTAAATCAATCAATAGTAAAAGCCCTGGTATTTCATGTTCCTCTGTATATTGTAATATACTTATATTTTCCCCAATATATCTCCCACTTATAAAACCAGTCTGATCAAAATTGATTAATTTATCGAGGACACTCTTAAATCTGTTTGAAATAGCTGCTGATCCAATTTTATACACAGTTTTCAGTAAAGATATTAGCCACCAGTTTTTATGCCCTACCTAGGGGCATTTTGTTTTTCTGTCTGTGCGTTCGTCCGTCCGTCTGTCTAGCTTCAGGTTATAGTTTTTGGTCAAGGTAGTTTTTGATGAAGTTGAAGTCCAATCAACTTAAAACTGAGTACACATGTTCCCTATGATATTATCTTTCTAATTTTAATGCCAAATTAGAGTTTTGACCCGAATTTTTCGGCCCACTGAACATAGAAAATAATACTGTCCTGCTACAGGTTAAAGTTTTTGGTCAAGGTAATTTTTGTCGAGCCTGCGACTTTTGTCGCAGAAAGCTCGACATAGGGATAGCGATCCGGCGGCGGCGGCGGCGGCGTTAGCTAACTTCTTAAAAGCTTTATATTTTAGAAGATGGAAGACCTGGATGCTTCATACTTTGTATATGGATGCCTCATGTTACGAAGTTTCCGTCAGTCACATGTCCAATGTCCTTGACCTCATTTTCATGGTTCAGTGACTACTTGAAAAAAAAAATCAGATTTTTTGTAATGTTAAATTCTCTCTTATTATAAGTAATAGGATACCTATATTTGGTATGTGCGTACCTTGCAAGGTCCTCATGCCCGTCAGACAGTTTTCACTTGACCTCGACCTCATTTCATGGATCAGTGAACAAGGTTAAGTTTTCGTGGTCAAGTCCATATCTCAGATACTATAAGCAATAGGTCTAGTATATTCGGTGTATGGAAGGACTGTAAGGTGTACATGTCCAACTGGCAGGTGTCATCTGACCTTGACCTCATTTTCATGGTTCAGTGGTTATAGTTAAGTTTTTGTGTTTTGGTCTGTTTTTCTTATACTGTATGCAATAGGTCTACTATATTTGGTGTATGGAATGATTGTAAGGTGTACATGTCTAGCTGGCAGGTGTCATCTGACCTTGACCTCATTTTCATGGTTCAGTGGTCAAAGTTAAGGTTTTGAGTTTTGGTCTTTTTTTCTAATACTGCATGCAATAGGTCAGCTATATTTGGTGTATGGAATGATTGTAAGGTGTACGTGTCTAGCTGGCAGGTGTCATCTTACCTTGACCTCATTTTCATGGTTCAGTGGTCAAAGTTAAGTTTTTGAGTTTTGGTCTTTTTTTCTAATACTATATGCAATAGTTCAACTATTTTTGGTGTATGGAAATATTTTATGGTCTATATGTCAGTCACGCAGGTTTTATTTGACCTTGACCTCATTTTCAAGGTTCATTGCTCAGTGTTAAGTTTTTGTGTTTTCGTCTGTTTTTCTTAAACTATAAGCAATAGGTCAACTATATTTGTTGTATGGAAGAATTGTTAGCTGTACATGCCTGCCTAGCATGGTTCATCTGACCTTGACCTCATTTTCATGGTTCATTGGTCAATGTTTAGTTTACTTGGTTAATGTTAAGTTTATGTGACAGTTGTAATAAAGCTTTATATTTAGGACTATCAACATAATATCAATGATTAGTAAAGAAGGCGAGACATTTCAGCGTGTGCACTCTTGTTGATGAAGTTGGAAGTCCAATCAATTGAAACTTAGTACACATGTTCCTTATGATATGATCTTTCTAATTGTAATGCCAAATTAGAGTTTTTACCCCAATTTCACGGTCCACTGAACATAGAAAATGATAGTACGAGTGGGGCATCCGTGTACTATGGACACATTCTTGGTGGGGTTTATTCCCTTTTGGTAAACAAGTAATAATACCTTGTTTTTGTGTAACAGATAGTTCTTTGATTTTGCACCATTGTTGTAAGAATTTACAATAAAAATTTGAAGATTCCACCAAAAATATTTATAGAACTGTGCTGAAAAACCATCAGTTACGGGAGTTTTGTTGTTGGTCTCCTACCGACAAAATCGAAGGTGATTTTAGGTCTGCACTCTGTCTGTCTGTCCATCCGTCAGTCCGGCAAATCAGTTTTCCACACTTTTTTTCTTCATAGTTGAAGATATTGATTTGATATTTGGTGTATAGTTTTATCATGACAAGTTACAGATCAAGTTTGAATTTTGTTCGGGTCTAATGATTTTGTGCAGAGGTATTGTCCTTGGACTTAGAAAATTCACTTATGTAATCATTTTTGTGGAGCCTGCGACTTTTGTCACAGAATCTCGACATAGGGATAGTGATCCATTGTCCTTGACCTCATTTTCATGGTTCAGTGACTACTTGAAAAAAAGTTAAGATTTTTTGTAATGTTAATTTCTCTCTTATTAGGAGTAATAGGATAACTATATTTAATATGTGCGTACCTTGCAAGGTCCTCATGCTCGTCAGACAGTTTTCATCTGACCTCGACCTTATTTCATGGATCAGTGAACAAGGTTGAGTTTTTGTGGTCAAGTCCATATCTCAGATACTATAAGCAATAGGTCTTCTATGTTTGGTGTATGGAATGATTGTAAGGTGTACATGTCCAGTGGTTAAAGTTAAGTTTTTGTGTTTTGGTCTTCTTTTCTAATACTATATGCAATAGGTCAACTATATTTGGTGTATGAAAATATTTTACAATGTACATGTCAGTCTGGCAGGTTTTATTTGACTTTGACCTCATTTTCACGGTTCATTTCTCAGTGTTTAGTTTTTATACGACCGCAAAACAATTTTGGGGTCGTATATTGCTATCACGTCGTCGGTTTCGTCGTCGTCCGAAGACATTCGGTTTTCGCACAATAACTTTAGTTTCAGTGTATGGATCTCTATGAAATTTAACCAAAAGGTTCTATACTACAAAAGGAAGGTTGGGATTGTTTTGGGGGGTAATTGCCCAAACCGTTCAGGAATTAGGGGTAAAAAAAGGTCTAAAACAAGCAGACTGGAGGGGGGGGGGGGGGTTGAAAAAAAAAAATTTTGGAGGGGGCAAATTTTTTTTCCACAAGATTTAAGAAATTAAAAAGAAAATTTCTTCAAATATTTTTTTGGGAAAAAATTTTTTGGGGAGGGGGTTAATTTGTTTTCTTCAAGATTTAAGAAATTGTCAATTTTTCAAAGAAAAATTGGGGGTCACAATTTATTTTGCTAATTCTTTGTATATAGTCTGAAAACAGATTTATTAAGTATTGCGCAACAGCAGTGTATTACACAAAATCTTCAATTGAATATAAATCCAAATCATATAACCAATTTCAAGTTCTTTGACCACATTTATTCTGTGTCAGAAACCTATAATGTGTTAAATATTTAATTACAATCCAAATTCAGACCTGTATCAAGCTTGAATATTGTGTCCATTTTTGCCCCAACTGTTCAGGGTTGGACCTCTGCGGTCGTATCCTGCTGCGCTCAGCGAAGCAGTTTATTATGATTTGGTCTGTTTTTCTTAAACTATAACCCATAGGTCAACTTTATGTGTTGTATGGAAGGATTGTAAGCTGTACATGTCTGCCTGACATGGTTCATCTGACCTTGACCTCATTTTCATGGTTCATTGGTCAATGTTTAGTTTTCTTGGTTAAGTCTGTTTCTTAGAAACTATAAGCAATAGGTCAACTATATTTATAGTGTATTGAATGATTGTAAGGTGTACATGTATTTCTCGTCTGGTTTATATGACCTTGACCTCGTTTTCTTGGATCAAGTTAAGTTTATGTGATAGTTGTAGTAAAGCTTTATATTTAGGACTATCAACATAATATCAATGGTTAGTAAAGAAGGTGAGACATTTCAGCATGTGCACTCTTGTTTAACTTTAATATGAAATTGTTTTTCCC